AGAGTTGTTTTAATGTACACTTCTCTCATTATAAGGGCTTTGGAGCATTTTGTCTCTCTTTATAGAACAGACTGAGCCAGAAAAGAGAGTGTGGCTCCCTCTTGTCCAGGCTCTGGAAGGTTTATATTATATAGGATTTAGACCAGGGCACCCACACGTGAACAGCGGGGGCAGATACACTGCCTCCCTTGGTGCCCCTCTCTCTCTCCCCCCCTCCCCGCCCCATCTTTGTCGCCTCTTGGATGGAGAAAGGAGGCTGAGCCCCGCCCTTCCCCAGACCAGCCTTTCTTCCTCTGCTGGGGGGGGGTTGTGAGGAATCCAAGTCCCATTCACTACTGGTTTGCAGATGCTGCTGCAGCTACTGTGCTCCTCCTTTTTGTGGAGCCCAGGATACCCCTCCCTCCACCTCCCCCGTACCCTCTTTGTCCTCTCCCTCCCAGTTTCTGTAAAGGGGCTGAGCCTCAAGAACTCCAAGCTGAGCTCAGCTGCTGCCTCCCACTCCAGCCCCAGAAGCCTGACCTCAGGAACCTGGGACCCTGGTCAGCCCCAGGCCATCTCCAGGTGGAAGATGCACCTGTGGCCCCCTCCGGTAGCCTGTTTGGGTGATGGGGGCAGAGAAAAATGAGTGGGAGGGCTCCCCACTGCTCTGGGCCTGTTATCAGAAACCCCTTCCCCTCCCTCCTCCCTTCCCTCTTTGCTGTGGAGGAAACTAGCCTCGCCTTGCAATGACATCATGGTATCTGGTGAGCCCCCTCCCCCTCCTTCCTTCTACTAAGTGTGAGTTTCTTTGTCTCTGGTGGAGAATGTGAGTAGGATGGGCAGCTAGAGGTTTGCTTTCCCCTCATCCACTTCCCTTCCCTTTCCCCTCCACTACGCTCCCCACAGTTACCTCCCTTGTCCCCCTCATCTTCCAATCTGATGGATCCTGAGGGTCCTACTAATGCCTAAGTGTCTGTGAGTCAGGTAAGTGTCCCCTCCCCTACTCCTGCCTCAGCCTCTCCCTTCTAGTTCTCTTCCCTTCTCCCCTCCCTCAATGTTTTCTTTAATTAGTGCTCAGGAGGATGTGTGTAAAGGTGGGTGGAAGATCCTGGGAGTATCAATACTTTTATTTATGCCTGTGTTGTGTATGTGGGTAGGACAATCTGTATGTGTCTATGTGCATGAGTCTGAGGCTGAGTAGGGGGAGGAGTGTGCCTGTGTGGGTGGGTGCTCCTGTGCCTGCTCCCCAAGGGCTGCTTCTGCCTGAGCCTTCCTGCCTGCCCAAGCCCTTGTCTGGAGATGAAGTGGGGTGGAGCCCAGAGGGGAGAAGCCTTTGGAGACACTCTCTCCCTCCCCTCCTCAGGTGGATGTTTCCATCATTTCTTCCTCCTTTCCTCCCTTCTTCCTATCCTTGGCTTGGCCTTGAGGCTGGAGAAAGAGGACACAGTCTAGGAACTCTTCCCTTCCCCTTCTCCTTGTCACCTCTTTTGTTTGGTGTCCTTTACTTTAATGGTATATTGATTTTTTGTTCTGGTTTCAACCAGCACCTGGCTAATGGGGCCTTTCCACATAGCTTGTTTTGGAACAGAAAGAGGAGACTTTTCCTGAACCTGCAGATTTACAGCCTGAAAGAAAATACTTGTTTTAATGTACACTTCTCTCATCATAAGGGATTTGGAGCATTTTGTCCTAGGGCTATTGATAGCTTGGATTTCTTCCTTTGAAAACATCCCTGTCCTTTATGACCTATTAGAGAATGGCTCTTAATCTTAGAAATTGCAATCAGTTCCTTCTATATTTTGCATATGCAACAGTACTAAGAGATCTTTACTACAAGGGTGTTTTTCCTCCCTTAATTGTTACCTTTCTCATTTTAACTGCATTTGATCTGTTTGTGCAAAAGCATTACAGCTTTATAGAAGCAAAATCATCCATTTTATTTTCAGTAATTCTCTCTATTCTTTGTTCTGTCATAATCTCTTGCCCTATCAGTGTGAAATGTAATTTCCTCCTTGCTCCTCCAATTTGCTATTGATTCCCTTTTTATACCTAATTCATGTATTCATTTGTAGTTTAATTTAACAGATGGTGAGAGGTGTTGATGATCTATCAAATTTCTGACAAACTGGTTTTCCCTTATGCCATCTTTTTTTTTGAACCAAATAGTGTGTCCTTTCTCCCCCTCAATTACTGTCTTTGAATTTATTAAACACTATTTTATTTTATTTGTTGGCTTCTGTACATTGCATACCTTATCTTTTCCACTGATCAACTTTTCAATTTTTAAAAAGTTGAAATTGTTTTCTTGGCAGCTAGGTATTCTGCTGGGCCTGGAGTCAAGAGGAACCATCTCCTTGAGTTGAAATATGATCTCAGACACTGACTAGCTCTGTGACCCTGGGTAAGTCAATTCACCCTGTTTCACTCAGTTTCTCAGTCTGTCAAAAGAGCCACAGAAGGAGATGGCAAACCACTTCAATATCTTTGCCAAAAAAAGCCCTAATAGGGTTAGGAAAAATCAGACAGGACAAAACAACAACAGTAGTTGTTTTCATAATCACAGATTTGTAATATTGTTTGGATCTGCTACCAATAATCACTAACCAAACCCGCTTTTTTTCATCCTTCCACATCCTCCATGATTTCCCTTAAGATATTTGACCTCTTTTTTAAATTTTTTTTAAGTTTTCTCTTTCTTACGTCACTAGGGTGTCCCATGTATCCCTCCCTCTCCTTACCCCCAACAGCCATGCCATGGAACAAATTGTATTTCTTGTTGTAGGGAGGAAAAGAAAAGTGAGCACAACTGATCAATGCATTTGGGAAAAGATGTGCAATGTGTAACACCTGTGGACCTCTCACCTCCTGGATGGGGTAGGGTGATGGTGTCTTCTCACATCTCCTTTCATTCCCACTTCACCTTTAATATTTTATTAGAAATACTTTAAATTTTTTCTGTGTCCTTTCCACTTCAGTTGTTGTAGTTACCCTGTATATATACTGTTGGGTTGGGTTTTTTTTTTGACTCTGCTTAATTCACTTTGTATCAGTTCACAAAGGTTTTTCCAATACTTCTCTGTACTCATCACACACATCATTTCTTCTTGCATGGGAACAGTATTCCATGCCTTTCATGTCCTTGTCTTGTTCCACGTCTTGTTAGGCATTCCCCAGTTGATGAGCATTTACTTTGTTTCCAAATCTTAGCTGTCACAAAAAAATGTTATTATAAGTATTTTGGAATAAGTGAGGATATTTTTCTTATTAATAGCTTCATTGGGGTGTAACGGAGCTTTGTTTTACAGGCTTTGGACATTTTTCTTTGCAGAATTCCAAATTACTTTCCAAAATGGATGTGTCATTTCACAGCTCCTCCAATAAGATATTAGTCTGTGTATATCCCTACACCCTTGTTCAGGTATCACAAACATGTTTGTGCCATAAAAGGATTTTGATAGGATTCCTTCTTTACCTGTTGTTTCAAGTAGTTTATATAGTATTGGGATGAAATGTTTTATAAAATATTTAGTAGAATTCACTTTCACAGTTGATCTGGTCCTGGGAATTTTTTCCTAGGAAACTCATGTATGCCTTGTTCAATTTTTTTCCTTAAAAGAGTTATTTATGTATTCTATTTCCTCTTCTGTTAACGTGGGCAGTTTATGTTTTTCTAATTATTAATCCATTTCACATAGATTGTCAGTTTTGCTGGCATATGATTGGGCAAAATACCTCCTTAGCATTGCTTTAATTTCATCTTCATTGTTAAGCATTTACACTTTCATTTTTAAGACTAGTAATTTGGTTTTCTTCTTTTCATTAATCAAGTTACCCAATCATTTATCTGTTTTTGTTTTTGCTTTTTGATGAGGCAACTGGAGTTAAGTGACTTGGCCAGAGTCAAACAGCTAATAAGTGTTGCGTCTGAGGTTGGATTTGAACTCAGATCCTCCTGACTCCAAGGCCAGAGCTCTATCCACTGTGCCACCTACCTGCCTCTGGTTTATATGTTTTTATTAGTATTTTGATAAAAGCAGCACCTGCTTTTATTTTTTAATTTGATTTTTAAAAAAAAATTCTTAATCTCACCTTTGATTGAGGGATTTCCATTTTGATGTGTAATTGTAGATTTTTCAGTTGTTCTTTTCTACTTTTATACATTTCATGCCCAGTCTCCTTTCTCTGTTTTATAGATATAAGCATTTAGAGAAAGAAATTTCCCCTAAGTACTGCTTTAGGTGCATTCCACAAATTTGGGTCTGTTACTTCATGGTTGTAATCCTCTATAATGAAATTATTAATTAGTCAATCATGTTTTGTTCTTTGACTCACTCATTCTTTAGGATTGGATCTTTTACTTTCCAATTAATTTTTAATCTATACTTCCACATCTCTGTAATTTATAGTGCATTATGGTCGGTAAAAAGGGCATTTAGTATTTCTATTTTTTCTCCATTTGTTTATGAGGCTTTTGTGCCCTAATATATGTTCATTTTTTGTGAAGGTGCCATGTACAGCTGAGAAAAAGTGACATTCCTTTCTATTTCTGTTCAGTTGTATCCAGAGTTCTATCATGTCTAACTTTTCTAATATTCTTTTCCTCTCCTTAACTTCTGTTTTATTATTTTATACATACATTTGCTTAATTCTGAGAGGGGAAAGTTGAGGTCACTGCTTAGTATAGTTTTACCATCTAGTTCCTTCTGTAAGCCATGTAAATTTTCCTTTAAGAAATTGGATGCTCTGCCATTTGGTGCATCTCGTTTTAGTATTGATATTATATTATTGTCTCTGGTACCTTTTCAGCAAGATATAGTTTCCCTGCTTATCTCTTTGACTTAGGACCATTTCAGCTTTTCCTTTGTCAGAGATCATGATTTCTACCCTTACCTTTTACACTTCACCTAAACAAGTGTCTCTGTGAGTGTTGGGCAGCAGTGGGGGGAGGGGTGGTGGAAGCATGGGGATTGTCTAAAGCTTCAGACCTTTTCACACTGCTGCTTTCAGAGCTAGTTCTGGGAGTCTGACAGTTTTTGAGGGTTCCAAAGTGATGTGATTGGGGGAGAGGTTTGGCCCATGCTTTCCTGGTTTGTGCTCTGGCCTTTACCTAGCAAGAACCACTTATCCCTTGGGAATGCAATGGATCCTGCTCCTCACGGTCCCTGTTCCTTCTTGTCAGAATGTTCTCCTCTGTGCCCTTGAACTGTGACCTGGAAGTCTGTATAGACAATGGGGTGTCCAAATAGCTTCCAAGTTGTTCTCATGGAATAGTTGAAGCTTCCCTTGCTACTTACATTAAATGTTCACATTCTCTTTGGGATTATAGGTCCAACTCCCAGACCCTTGAACCCACTGTACTTAAAGCAAATAGAGGAGTTCCTAATTCAGGTAGGACAACTAGAGCTTTTCCCCTGGGTGGGTGGTGAATTTAAAATGTATTGAGGACTTGTAGAACTTCTGTTCACTTAGAATGAGCTCTGTTCTTATCCTTCCCTGGCCTCAAGGCAGCGTCCTGGACAGCGGTTTGGCAACAGCCTTCTGGGATCTCTGAATCCCTCCATCTAGGTGGTTCATTGGTAAGCACAATACACCTGGAATTAGGAAGATCTGAGTTCCAATCCAGCCTCAGGCATTTCCTAGTTATATGACCTTGGCCAAGGGCAAGTCAGAGTATACCTAGTCAAGCACTCTTTTGTCTTTTTGCCTCCTCAGTAAGACTGATAGCCCATGTGAATGTGTCTGTGATCTTACAGTGCTGTCTGGGTCACTAAGAGGTTAGGTGACTTGACTGTGGTCATGCTGCTAGCATGATCCTGAAGCTGGCCCTCTATCCTTAGGGATCAGAGAATCCGTCCCTTCCATCCAGGCACAGTACAAGCATCACCTATTCCATGAAGGCTTTCTTGTTTCCAGCTCCTAGTGGCCTGGATCCCAGAGTACCTTGTACTTTGCCTTTATTTGCATTTATTCTCCATATACTTTTATTTATTTTCTGTCTCATCAGAAGATAAGCTTCTAATGGTTAGGGACTATTGGGAGCCAAGACTTGTGTCGCAGTATTGTCTCAAAAGTATTTGCTCAGGCTGTCTCCAATGTGAGCAAGGGCATTTATTGGGGATTACTGCCCCCAGTGGGCTTTTCTCCTTAAGGAAGGCAGGAGCAGCTCCAGTTGGAATAACAGTAGTTCTTTTATAGGGTGCCTAGAATTGGCTTATAGAGAAGGTAGATCTTAATTAGCTCTAACGTTACTCTAGGGTAAGCAGTGGTATGTACTGCATGGTTTTGTGGTCCATTATTAGGTAAGGGCTGCAGTGTGATTGGTCAGTTCAGGGGCTCTGGATACAAGGTGTTGTCAAGGTCATTATGTGAATATAAGTTGTTGTCAAGGACATTCCTCATCGGGACTGCCTCCTCAATAATGTGTGCACCTCCAGAGCCTGCTCACCCTTTATGCAGGCAGTACTTCAGAAATGCTGCTTGATTGCTTAATTAGGCCACCAGTCTTTCTCTCTGCTCAGCACATAGGAGGAGCTTCATCTATAGCTATAGAATGAATAAATTAGTGAGTTGTAGGTCTAAGCTAGAGTAATTATTAATGATCATATTTATATCTCTTATTTATAATTTTCATCACTTATTACTGTATTATTTTAACTATCATATCTAACTCATGTATTCCCTTATATTTTAATTTGACACTAGGCAGGAGGTGTTGATCTCCTATCAAATTTCTTCCAAACCGCTTTCCACATATGCCATCGGTTTGTTTTTCTTTTTCCATCAACTACAAGCCATTCTTGTTTTCTGTAAGTGGACCATTGGGCAAGCCTGTAAGTAAAAGGATTTTGAAGTAATGTGAATTTGCCCACAGATGTGGTTACAAGGGAGGGAGGGAGGCAGGAAGGGGGTCACATGCATGTGAAGGGAGGGGACCAGGAGACAGTTCAAGGACACAAGGGGGCAGGGACAGAGAAGCAAGAGCAGGAAGAGGATCAGGTTGGGGCCAGCCATGTGATGACATGGCCAGAACTAAGAGGAAAAATAAGTGGAGGACAGAAATGTGGAGACTGGACATGGCCACACACAGAAAAGCAGAGGTGACACATGGACTGAAGAAGACACGCACCCAGAGCAGGGTGGACAGAAGACTGACACGGGTGCCACACCTGTGGATTAATGGAGCAGCCAAATTTCTCCTCTCTCAGTGCTGGAGGTCTCAAGCCAAGGCCTGATCCTGAGGCTGCAGAGGTGGAAGGATCACTCTGCATGTCCAAAACCCCTTTCTTTCCCCTTCCACTTCTCCATATGCTTTAGATACTTGACCTCATTTTAAAAATATTTTGATGTTTTCAGTATCTTACATGATGATATCCCATATATCCCTTCCTCTCCTCCTCCCTGAGAGCTGCCATGTGACAAGTGGTATTTTGTTTTAGGAGCAAAAGCAGTCAACACAACTAAAATACTATACAGAGGAAAAGACACTTGCAGCAGGAGATAGTCTCTCTGAGAACATTCCAGTTACTACAGGCTTACTCTCTGGGGAAGCACATCTAGCCTCAGAATACTCAGTGGATGAAATACTTATGGGTGGAGATACACACGCTCTGAGAAGACTCAGAGGAAAAGATACTTGTGGCAGGAGACAATCTTTCTGAGAACATTCCAGTTACTACAGGCTTACTCTCTGGGGAAGCACATCTAGCCTCTGAATACTCAGTGGATGAAATACTTATGGGTGGAGATACACACGCTCTGAGAAGACTCAGAGGAAAAGATACTTGTGGCAGGAGACAGTCTTTCTGAGAACATTCCAGTTACTACAGGCTTACTCTCTGGGGAAGCACATCTAGCCTCAGAATACTCAGTGGATGAAATACTTATATGTGGAGACACACATGCTCTGAGAAGACTCAGAGGAAAAGATACTTGTGGCAGGAGACAGTCTTTCTGAGAACATTCCGGTTACTACAGGCTTACTCTCTGGGGAAACACATCTAGTGTCAGAACACTCAGTGGATGAAATACTTATATGTGGAGACACACACGCTCTGAGAAGACTCAGAGGAAAAGATACTTGTGGCAGGAGACAGTCTTTCTGAGAACATTCCAGTTACTACAGGCTTGCTCTCTGTGGAAGCACATCTAACCTCTGAACACTCAGCAGACGAGACATTTGGGGCTGAAGACACACTCTCTGAGAACATTCTACTTACTACAGACTTGCTTTCTGGGGAAACACATCTGCCATCAAAATACTCAGAGGAAAAGACCAGAACTGAAGAGAAAATATGACTTTGAAATACAAGACTCTAAAGAAGCATTAAAAGGTAAATATGAAAGAGAAATCATAAGCAACTCATTAAGGTTAAATTGTATACTTTCCTATAAGGGAAGAGGATACACATATCTTCTAAGAATGTTACCATTATTAGAGGAGGGAGAAGGATTCTACATAGAAGGTTTGAGAGTGAGCCACTTAGGTTAGGATGATGGAAAATAAATGGATAGGCAAAAAGTATGGATGCCCTGGGAGAAGGCAGAAAAGAGAGAAAGAATGAGGGACATAATCTCACATAAAATAGGTGTGCAAAAAAGAGCTTTTACCCTGGAGTGGAATATGGTAAGGGGGGAGTAGCCAATGCTCGAACCTCAGTCACATCTAAATTGGTTTAATAGGGGAAAATATCTATCTCTCTATTTATGTCTGTCCGTATATATACTTACTCAATTGGTCATAAATATCTATGTTACCCGAGAGGTGAGTAAGAGAGTGGGAAAAGAGAAAGAAAAAGTGGTGATAAAAGGGTTGAGTGATGAAATAATACATTTGTCATATACAAAACAGAAATTAGAGGAGAGACAGAATAAAAAGAGAGAGAGAAGGAGAAACAGAAGAAGATAGGAAGGAGGGAAATGCACAGTTAGTAATCCTAACTCTGTGAATTAGATGGACTCACTTATAAAATGGAATCAGGTAACAAAATGGATTAGAAACCAGTATCCAAAAATATGTATGTTTGTTTCTTTTTTTTTTTACAAGAAACATACTTGAAACAAAGAGAACTACAGAGTGAAAAAGGGGGTTGGAGAAGAATCCGTTTACTTCAGATGAAGTAAAAAAGTGGAGGGGTAGCAATTATGATCTCAGACAAAAATATCCCTATTAAAAGGAATTAGCAGGGAAACTACCTCTTGTTCAAAGCAACGACAGAAAATGAAGTAATGTCAAAAGTAAACGTATTTGGGAAATGGCATAGGATTCAAATTCTTAACAGAAAAATTAATCAAATTACAGGAAGAAATAGACAGGAAAACTGTAGTAGTGGGGCACCTTAATTTTTTCCTCTGAGAGCTAGATCAACTGAATCATAAAATGAATAAGAAGGAAGTTAAGAAGAGTAATAGAATTTTAGGAAACCTAGATATGAAAGACCTCTGGAGAAAACTGAATGGGACTAGAAAGGAGTACAGACAGATGGTGCTTTATGTAAATTTGCATTATGCAAATTGGCCTTTATGGAAGGAATTCTATAAGAAAGCTGAATTCCAAGAAAGCACCTATGTCAACTTTATCATACTGTACTGGGATCTCTTTCTGCTCCTGCCCCTCAAGATGGTGCTCTGTGGCCTCCTACACCACCATCCCCCAAAACGAAAAGCTAAAAAATATCCTCCAAGTGAAAGGAGAAGAACAGACTGCAGAGAGACGGCCACCACCACTGCTGGATCAGGGCTTGGCTTGAGACCTCCAGTGCTGAGAGAGCAGACCTTCATTTTAGTCTGCCCACCCTCTTAAGAGTTTGATTTCTGTGTTTTGGTATTTTGTCCATCCACATTAGGGTATGTGTCTGTCTGTCCCTGGTGTGCACCACATATGACCTGTCCTCTCCTGAATGTTTCCATGTGCGGCCCTCATGTATCTGTCTTGCCAGCATGTTCTTCCTTTCAGTTCCAGCCAGGCCCTTATGTGGCTGGCCCCTGTGTCCAGCCCCCACGTGTCCTTGAACCATGTCCTGGCCCCTCCTCCAGGGGGTGCAGTCCCCTTCCTAACTCCCTTCTGCCCTTTTCCACATCCATGGGGTAATAAATTCATATTACATAAAGAGTCTGTGGACTGGTCTGCTTATGTTGTTGTTGTTATTATTATTTAGTGTTTATTTTGTGTTTTATTTTTCCCCAATTACAAGTAAAAACAATTTTTAACTTTCATTTTAAAAATTTTGAGTTCCAAATCCTCTCCCTTCCTCCCTCTCAACTCCCCACCCATTGAGCAGGCAAGCTATTTGATATAGCCTATAAATGTTTAGTCATGCAAAACATACTTCTTTATTAGTCATGTTGTAAAAGAAAACATACCAAAAAAAAACCCACGAGAAAAATAAAGTCAAAAAGTTTGCTTTCATCTGTATTCAGACACCATCACTTCTTTCTCTGGGAATGGATAGCATTTTTCATCACAAGTCCTTCAGAGTTGTGTCGAATCTTTATATTGCTGAAAATAGCTAAGTCGTTCACAGCTGATCATCTTATAATATTGCTGTTACTGTGTACCAGGTTCTCTTGGTTCTACTCACTTCATTTTCCATTAGTTCATGTGAATTTTCCTAGGATTTTCTGAGACCATCCTGATCATCATTTCTTATAGAGTTATAGCATTCTATCACAATTATATACCACAACTTATTCAACCATTCCCCAGTTGAAGCACATCTCTTTAATTTCCAGTTATTTGCCACAAGAAAAAAGCTGCTATAGTTTTGTACGTATAGGTCTGTTCCCTTTTTTAAATTTCTTTTAGGTTACAGACCTGTTGGTTGTATTGCTAGGTCAAAGGGTATGCATAGTTCCAATTGCTCTACAGAATGATTGAAGCCATTCACAACTCCACCAATAGTGCATTAGTGTCTCATTTTTCCCACATTCCCTCCAGCATTTGTCATTTTCCTTTTCTATCCTATTAGCCAATACCTACAAGGTAGTACCTCAGAATTGTTTTAATGTGCATTTCTCCAATCCAGTGATTTAGAGTATTTTTTCATATGCCTATAGATAGCTTTGATTACTTCATCTGAAAACTGACTGAGTGATCATATCTTTTGGAATGGCTCTTATTTCTATAAATTTGACTCACTTCCCTATATATTTGAGAAATGAGGCTTTTATCAGAGGAATTTGGCTTCAAGAATTTTTTTTTACCAGTTATGATAGCTAACTGTATTTCCCTCAATCCTGTTCCCCCCCTTGTTTATTCTATTCTCTCTCCTTTCACCATGTTCCTCCTTAAAAAGTGTTTTGCTTCTGACAACCACCTCCCAATCTGTCCTCCCTTCTCTCACCCCCCTTCTCCTCTACCTTTCCCATCCTACATTTCTGTAGAGTAAGATAGATTTCTAGACCCTTTGTGTGTGTGTGTGTGTGTGTGTTATTCACTCTCTGAGGCATTTCTGATGAGAGTAAGGTAAAAGTGTTCCCTGCCACCTCCTCTCTCCTCCCCTCCACTGTAAAATCTTTTTTGCCTATTTATGTCAGATAATTTACCCCATTCTACCTCTTCATTTCCCATTCTCAGTGCACAATGCCTGGCAGAGAGCAGACACTATAAATGTTAACTATTATTATTAGTTCATTAATTAGATGTGACCAGTATACAATTCCAATGGTGATGAGATGCCCGATTTTCTGAGTAACATAATTTGGAAATGCATTCAACAGGATTGAAGTCACCTGACTGGTAGTGGGTTTGTTTCAAGTTTCAAATAAATACTAATGTTCAAATGGGTAAAGTTTTCTATCAGGTATGTCAAGAAACTTTTCATAATTTGATGTTATGAAAGTAACATCTGAAAGAAGGTAAAAATG